GAACCCAAATTAAAACCAAGAGACTCAATAAGCATCTGAAACTGGGGTCCTTCCAGGAAAATACCACAGTCATCCAGAATCTAAAAACAAGAGTGATATGAATCAATGTAAAGAACTGAATGCTTAAGACACTGATTGAATGTTGCCTTCACATTATCAGAATTATAGTTATGACTTTCTGATCTGATCTCATAACGTACCTTACAGAAATCTCTCAGAGTAAGAGCTACTGTCATGCTTTTCCTTTTGGACATCAGATAGTCCTGAAGGGACATCCCGCGTCTCTGAAGCCTGTCCTTGAGTTTCCTCAAGACAACATCCTTTACTGCTTGTGCTTTTAAGTTCAATATGGAGGCTTCATGTGCCCTTTCCTCTCTATATTTTACAAAAATATAAAAAAAAAAAAAAATTGATCTGAATGCTACGTATCACTTCTCATGCTTATTATTGACCATACAAACCTCTCAATGATACTGAGGCGGCCCTCAATCTTCTCTGAAACACCCAAGCTCTTCAAAAATAGCTTGTAGTTCACATTTCCACCCTCCAAAAATGGTTCACAAAGCCTTTGAGAGCAAACAGGGGGAATTAGTCAGTATCCAGAGGTAAGGCTGAGGGGCAGAGAAGTAAGACTCACTTGCTGAAGTGGCGCTCAGACAGCGGTAGTCCGTGTTGTCGGATCAATCTCCTAAGGTCTTCTGGGGGGATGGTGTCACTCTGGTTTTGGGTTGTGTTGGTGATAGATTCGATCAGCATGTCATAGTTCTCAGAGAGCTTCTCCTTAAGAATCTGTTCCACCTGTAGAGAGACAAAATCATGTGTGTGATAGAACTAGGATTGATAAGTGATTTTAAAATTGTAAAATTGTAAAAATAAAAAAACTCTGAAGGTTACTTACAGCATTCTTTATTGTCGTTGCTGTGGATGGCAATGGGTTTAACTGTTCTGAAACCTTTTTATTGAGGTTTGGTGTCTCCTGGAATAAATTCACAAAACAGTTTTTATAGGTTGAATCATTTTAAATTTGCAAATAACCCATATATATGCAAAACCTGTCAAGAAAAATAGTAAGTCATATTTTTTGTATAAATAAACAAAAGTACAGTTTTGTACTCTCCTAATTACGGTATTGTCTTTCTAATCATTTTGTAATGATTTTTATTATTGTAATATATAATTTATATTGTAATATGTTTTTTTTTGTGATTTATTTTTCTTTCTTTTTTTTTTTATCTATGAGAGTTCAAAAATGTACCTTTTTTCAGAAATCACAGTTTGCATATTGCAGTAATGAGAAATGGGTAAAATGAGCTTGATTGTCCTGAAAATAATGTCACAATGCAAAAAAATCTTAAAGGTCCTAATATTAAAGTTTATTTACTTCATCATGTAATATTTTTTTTTTATTTCTCATTTTTATCTCTTTTAAGGTAAAATGTGACCATGGATATTACAGTACTGCAAAGGTAATAATACAATGACTGGTCTTTGGTGATGGAAGAAGTCCAGGAATTGTTGGTAATTTATGGCATCTGTATGTTCCACATCCAAGAATACAGCAAGAGCGGTGAACTGCTCATCGCTGAGATGGAAGTTCAGGCTCCCCAGAGCCCTGCATAGTTCATCTCTACTGATAAACCCTGTTCTGTTCTGCAGAAACAGTCATCATTATTATGAATAGCTGTGATTTGAATTTCATCATTTACAACTTTTTATCTAGTCTCAGAACTTACTTTATCAAAGTCCAGAAAGGTTTCTGTCAGAAGAGGCTGATTATCAAAAACATGTTGACGTAAGTTTAGTAGAATTGCTTCAATACTGCATGTGTCTGGAGTTGCTGGAACAGAATCTTTCCTGATTGAGGCATTAAAAATATCTGCATAATTAAAGATACTTTTGCATGCACAGAATCCTTCAATGTATTAAAACAGTGTGTCAAAACAATATTGATTTATAGGAGACTAACAAAAACTTTATGGCCAACTTACTGTACAGCTATGTCGTGTTTGAACAATCCGAGAAATATTCTCCATTGCACAGGCTCTGTGCTGCTCACTCCAAATCTGTGACAATAAACACTAGATGAATTTCAGAATTGCTTTCACGGAGGTACATAAATGATATGTTAATATCTCATACCTGTTCAATAACTCCCTTAAGGTATGATCATCCATGGGGAAGAGGAAATTACTGAGGACAGATCTGAGATCCTCTTGAGAGACAAACCCGCTGTCTGTGATGTCAAATGCCTGCAGAGCTTTTTCAACAAGGCTGTAATTCTTCTTTATCTGTAAGTCAAAATAGAACATTTTTTAAATGAAATTCTTACATATTTTAGATAAAAAATGATCTCTGTCATACTCACTTTGCTCAAAAACCTGGTCTGGACTTCATCCATGTTGCCCCTGGATTTGCTTGAGAAAGCCCTTACGCTTGTCTTACTTTTAGGTCTTGTTGTAGCACGACTGACAGTGTCCCAATTCAGTGCTGAAAGCAGGTGTAAATCAGACTATATAACTGATTTAATTATTAATGTATTTTGATGCCAAAATTAATAATTATTTTATCACTATCTTATCATATTGCATAATTTCTTTCATATAACTTTACCCAGTTGTATAGAATCTGGTGCAATTTTTCTATAGTTTTCACAGTCAACACCAAGCTTCTCCAGAAACTCCTTGTAAGATATTGTGTCAGAATTATTCACGCTGTAATGTGACCATAGTCTAAAAGAGAAGACATAAGCACAAAAGACATAGCATTCAGGGAAAAACAATAATACTTCAGGAGAGTTCCATTAAATTGAAAAACCGGGACCTGTGGAATTCCAGCTGACTCATGGGAAAGCAGTATCCCTCTAGGACTTTACGCAGCTCATGTTGCTGTATCTGCCCATCGCTGTTGTAGTCAAACAGCCGAAAAGCCCTGGTGATGTTTTTCAAATGGCCTCCAATCTGAAATGATGAGAATCATGGATATTACACACTAACATCAACAGGTAAGTATTTATATAATATTCATACCATGCTATACTCTACACCTTATCTTTCAGACGACACTGTAGCTCTCCAAGTGACAAGTTTCTGTAACTTCCACTCCTGTTTCTGTTAAGAAATTATATGTTATATATATGAAGAAATATTATAAAATTCAGCTTTGCATCACAGGAAAAAATTAGATTTAAAATATAATGAAACTGAAAACAGTTGTAATATTTCACATTATTGTTAGTTTTACAGTATGTTTGATCAAATAGCGTGGGTGAGCATCTTAGTAACCCCAAACATTTAAAAATGGAGTGTATATGTGAAGGAAATGTAATAATTGAGAAAACATCCACAAAAACATACATTACCTGCCTACTACAGATGAAATTTTGCAGTATCTTCTGAGAAACTCCATGTAAGAAATTGTTCCATTTTCTCTTAAGTCAATCTAATAAAGATATTTTAATGAAGTTGAAATGAGTGAAAATATGAAACATATAATATGAAAAAAATCACAGCTTAACACTCTTAAAAATAAAGGTGCTTAAAAGGTTCTTCACAGCGATGCCATAGAAGAACCATTTTTGGTTCCACAAAGAACCATTCAGTCAAAGGTTCTTTAAAGAACCATCTCTTTCTTACCTTTTTATAATCTGAAGAACCTTTTCTTCACCACAAAGAACCTTTTGTGAAACAGAAAGGTTCTTCAGATGTTAAAGGTTCTTCATAGAACCATTTAGACAAAAAAAGGTTCTTCTATGGCATCGTGAAGCACCTTTATTTTTAAGAGTGAAGTACCACATTATAACATTACAGCAAGTGCACTGAAGGAAGTGGGTGACTTTTGTCATTCTAAATGAACACACCTTTGCCAACAGACCCTCAAACTGAGATTCAGTGAGTGGAACAAGAAACCCCTCGATTACACGCCTGAACTCTCCTTTGGTGACAGCTTTGTTGCCTTCCTGGTCAAAGGCTTCAAAAGCAGCCTTCAAGTCCTCTTTTTTGTCCTTGACTCTCTCCAAGAGTAGTTTCTCAATGTCCATCAAAGAAAGATTCTCATCTGCCACCGACTGCACAGAGGAGGCTGTAAAGAAGAAGTAATAAAATAAGATATCTCCTCAACAACATGCTTTCCACCATTACCAAGAAAATAAACAGCATAGACCATACCAGAGTCAGACTTGATTGTGTTCCTCCTTGAGAATTCTCCTGAGGAGATCCGAGACGCACTCTTAGCCCTGGGGATGATGGCGAGCCCTTGTGTCATAGGCCTCAGATCTATATGGCTTGAGATTTGAGGCATCTGTGCGGAAGGTGACACCTGAATGTAACCATTAAAAACTTTTTTTTTTTAAAACAGCTTTTTTGAAATACAATATTGGTTGTTTCCTTTGTCATTTTTTAAATTATTATATAATCTATTATATTTATTTAATATATTGTATTGTAATGTTAGTCTCCAATATACAAAGTTTTAACTTATTTGAAACCTTTAGAATGTTTTTATTAAAATTTAAAGGACAAGTAGCGTCCTAAGAGATCCTGTTTAATTGGCAGTTCAACCTGCCAATTTTTCATTCAGAAATTATATTAGTAAAGTGTCTTCATACTAACCCAACTCTCCACAGCGGACCTCGGACGCATTCTTGTGTTAAATTCGTATTTACACTGTCGTTGTTCAAATTTAAAAACTTGAACACAACACCTCTTCAGCCAGTCGAGGACGCTTTGCTGTTCCCATGGATATGGTCTGGCAACTGGCTGTCAATCAAATCAGGAGTTGGCTCCGCCTCCTGGAACGCTTAACCAACCAGTAATCAAGTTGTCCACAATGTTCTACTGAAAAAGCGAAAAAACTCACAAAATATTTTTAAAAAACGATAGGACCGAAGGATAAAGAGTGTAGATTCGTATGGAATGTAACTTAAACTGCAATTTGTCTCCATATTCTTTTAAGGAAAATAGTGACGAGCATGACGTAGTTGTTCTGTCCTCCTCCGCCAATCATCATTCCCAATGGGCATGGTTACCAAGTGTCATGGCGGCCACCGGGAGATTGTTGTAGTGTGCCAGAGACAGACCGCGGATTGTTCTGTATTAAACTGAACTGTTTATTATAATATTGGGGACATTTGAATGTAAAAAGTTTTTTTTAAACATGGGGACTGTGTATGCCAGGGTAAGCGCATTTTTCCAGAGCTGTTGTAGAAGCTAAAGGAATGACCTCTGAACAGAGTCTTTGAATGACAGGCCGAGTTCAGGATGACGTTTAGTAACGTTACTCCACGTTAATCCGGATTAACTGTATGTCAATAAGATAATAAATCATCTTTGCACATATAAACGCTCACTCTCACTTTAAACAGACTCGTATAGCATTGGATATGAACAAACTAACGTTAGTGCTGTCATACAATACTTACCTGCACACTTTTATAGTATCTGTTGTAGTTTTACACATTGTCCGTGTTGCTACGATAATTTATAAGAGATATCAGGTTCTCTGAGCATGCTTAATATAATAACATAATAGATCTAAAAACTCACTCACTTCTACATATCTGTTGAACCAGAGTCTGGACCCCCTTCCTATGCAAGGACCTGAGCTGGGGGTTCAAGCAGATGACATGGACCTGGGAGAACCAGAGCATGAAGAGAAACAGGAAGTTCTTGAAAATAAAGACGTGAGATGGATTTTATGCGATTTTTCTATCCACTGCTTGTACATAAATGTGGTTTTGTACCAGGCATATTGGTGTTTTCATATGTATTTCAATTGTTTAGGTTGTAGTACAGCATGTGCACATCGATGGCCTTGGGAGAACAAAGGAAGACATTTTAACATATGAGATTGCAGATGTTTTCCGTGCCAAAAGCTTGATTGATGTGAGTATCACTTTATATAGATGCTGCTTGTGGATAAATTACACTATTAAAATTGTATTACATATTTTTTTACTAGATTTAAACTATTAAACTTCTTTATAATTATGTTACAGGTAATGAAGAAGTCCCATGAGGCCAGACAGAGACTTTTGCGTATGGGGATATTCAGACATGTGGAAGTTGTCATTGACACTGCTGAAGGTATGACAAATAAGCAAACAACCAGTGGTAAATAACCAATAATCAAAGTGATGCATCAAAGTCTGAATTCCTCTCAAAACATTAGGTGCTAATGCGCTGCCGAATGGACTAGATGTGACATTTGAGGTGAAGGAGCTGAGAAGAATGACGGGAAGTTACAACACCATGGTTGGGAACAACGAGGGAAGCATGGTGAGCTACTGACTCCTGCATCGTCACTGTGGGCTGTGTGTCTAGTACATTGAGAAACCAAAATTATTTACAGAAGTGTTGTTCTGGTTCTCGTTTCAGGTGCTGGGTCTGAAATTGCCCAATGTTTTTGGCCGTGCAGAGAAGCTGACCTTCCAGTTCTCTTATGGGACTAAGGAAACCTCATATGGCTTGTCATTCTTCAAGCCCCAGCCTGGACACTTTGAGCGCAAGTATGTTTCTTGGCCTGGTGGTGAAGATTTCTATTTAAAAATTACATTTTGATTTGTTAGAAATGTCATGTTGGCTAAGTTAGTCATTAAAGTTGAGTACATTTCTCATTAGTAAACAAACTTGACATAATATTCATTAGGGGTTAAAGGGGTCATATGATGCGATTTCAATTTTTCCTTTCTCTTTGGAGTGTTACAAGCTCTTGGTGCATAAAGAAGATCTGTAAAGTTGCAAAGACTAAAGTCTCAAATCCAAAGAGATATTCTTTATAAAAGTTAAGAGTCAACCACGCCTACCTAAAACGGCTTGTTCTAACACGCCCCCACATATCTACGTCACGATGTGAGAAGATTTGCATAATGCCACCCAAATGTTCACGCAAAGAAAGAAGGCGTAACTTTTATTCTTGCTGTAGTATTGTTGTTGCCGCCGCCACCGCCATGTCATGAAGGCGCTGTGTGGTTCATTGTGAAAGCGAAACTACTTTCTTTGGCCTTCCAAAAGAGGACGATATCGCTTCGTCATGCCTGGATCTGATCCGTGCTGGTCGCTGAGGAAATACTTCAACTTTGCGCTGTCGATCGCCAGATCGGCTTTCACCGTGGACGAAGCGGAGTCCAGCCCGGGATCGTCACATGTGGTTGCCGCAAGCCCGCCGGCCTCCGCTCACTCAAGCCGGAACTCCGCTCACTCAAGCCGCCGGCTCTTTTGGAAGGACACGACTAGAAATCAGTGGTTAAGTTGTATTTACAACACTGTTCCAGAACACTTTCTTAATTTGCTGGTGTTTTTTCAATTTGCATGTGTTTTCTTAAGTTGCAGCGCGTTGAGCTCTCTCGGCCACCGTACAATGACAACTAAAGCGTATTCACAATAAAAAAAGGACAATATCTTCTATATGTCCGACCCAAACTTTACCCAAAAATTCATCAACCTTTTGAAATAATGACTGAATTTTTTATATGTACAGTATAGCTGTGATTACTAGATTACTAATCACGTTTCAGTGGTTGTTTGTGAATTTTGTGAACAGGTTTTCCCAGGTTTGCTGTTGACACTCACTCACTCTTTCAGCTTCTCCATTAACTTGTATAAAGTCACGGGCCAGTTCCCATGGAGCTCACTCAGAGAAACGGACCGAGGGGTCTCCACCGAGTTCAGCGTAAAGGATTTATTTTATTATAATTATTTTGAATAAAATTAAATGTATTTATTTAAATTTGTATAATATTTTTTATTTTATTTGATCTCATTTTATTTATTTTTACATTTATTTTCTCTTTACCAAACCAAATATTATGTCATAAATAATTAAGTTTTAGTAGATATAGGGCCAGATTTACTAACAGCTTGCACCAGCGCAAACCATCTTTTGGCGTTAAAACAGTACCGTCAGGATTTACTAAAGACGCGCAGTGAAGAATTAGCGCTAAAAAGGCGTGGACACAGTTATTTTTGCGCCTGACCTTATTGAATATGCATTTGTAGGAGTTTCCCTTTCAATGGGTGGAGAGTATTAAAATGAATCACGCAACGCGATTTACTAATGTTTGCCCTCGTCAAATTACTGGTATTTGCGCCATTATTGAAAAATAAAGCATGTCTTAAACTATTTTGCGCCTTTGTCGTAAGTACGGGGAAGCTGTGGCCTAATGGTTAGAGAGTCGGACTCATAACCCAAAGGTTGCGGGTTCGAGTCTCGTACCGGCAGAGATTGTAGGTGGGAGGAGTGAATGTACAGTGCTCTCTCCACCTTCAATACCACGACTGAGGTGAGCCCTTGAGCAAGGCACCGAACCCCCAACTGCTCCCCGGGCGCCGCAGCATAAATGGCTGCCCACTGCTCCGGGTGTGTGTGTGTTCACGGTGTGTGTGTGTTCACTGCTGTGTGTGTGCACTTTGGATGGGATAAATGCAGAGCATTTAGGTATGGGTATAGAGTATGGGTCACTTGACCACATGTCACTTCACTTTCACTTTCAAGTAACGTTAGATCACCCGCACCTGATGAGCATTGGCTCTGCGAGTACGATTGGCTTCTATGTTTTTTAATTTGCGCATTGTTAGTAAATCCCCCGCAGAGATTTCCACGCCCATCATGCTGTTTTAGAATTGCGCTCTGGCGCTAATTTGCCCTGTTTAGTAAATCTGGCCCATAACGTCAAAAGTTTTACTATATGTATATATGTATATACTATATGTATATACTTTACTATATATCTAATGTATTTAGCGATTGTTTGGTCTATAATCACCAGTTCCCCATCTGGAGGACAAATCACACTTTGAAGTGGGAGGGCGTGTGGAGAGAGCTGGGCTGTTTGGCCCGTACGGCCTCCTTCGCTGTCAGGGAGGAGAGTGGCCAGTCCCTGAAGTCCTCACTTTCCGTATGTCTCTTCTCTGAAACTTGTTATTACAATCATTGATATCTGATTTTAAATATATGATATTTTCCTCACAGCACACAATGGTCATCGACACACGCAATTCTACCATTCTTCCAAGAAAAGGTGCCTTATTGAAGATCAACCAGGTTTGTTTGAATCAGTTGTTGTCCTTGTAAGAAATAGCTTATCCAATACTGTCATTATTTACTTCATTTTTATGGTCTGTTAGGAACTGGCAGGTTACACTGGAGGAGATGTCAGTTTCCTGAGGGAAGACTTTGAAATTCAGCTCAACAAGACTCTGTTCTGGGACTCGGTGAGATGCTGTGGAGGAAACTATTGCTTATGTTTCTTTGTTGCGGTGTTATTTTAGTATCATTAATGTACTTATTCAAATTTTAGTAGTTGTGGTACTCCAACTTGAACTAAGCTCAAATTAGAAATGGCAACTAACTGAAAATATATAGATTTTGAATATTTTATTTTTTTTCAGATAACATTTTTACAATTAACATAAATGTTTTTTATTAGTCATAGTTTTAGTTACTAACAACCAGTGTTGGGCAGTAACGCATTACTTAGTAACGCGTTACTGTAATTTGATTAGTTTTTTAGTAACGGAGTAATTTAACGCGTTATAATTTTCTAAATAGTAATTAGAGTATAGTTACAAGCAGGGGCGGCGTTTCCGTATGGGAGAGTATGGCAGTCGCCATACCCTAGCCCAGTGAGGTGTGCCGTGGAAAATCCAAACTCTATTATATTTCGTTATTATTGTTTTAAATCACTGCTATTGGTCTTCCTTATGTCTGTTTGAGGGTTTTACAAATATTTAACCAATGAAAAGCATTCAAAAGAGCTTGTCACTAAACTTTTTAACGCTATGGATCCTCAAACTGTCAGCAAAACCTCGTAACGTCACCCTGCTTCCATTCAGAGCAAAGCGCCGCGCAGCGCGCACAGCCTGGAGACAGATCTCGGCTTGTTCGCAATGCAAGGGTAAATAATAAATGATGTTTGAATAAGTACAGCGTTTTCTTCACTAAAACACTGTCTATAAAGGCTAATGTTTTTTGTGTGTTTGAAGAGCGGAGAATAACTTTTGCCGTCTAGTTGTAACCAATAGGCTACATTTGTAGGCTACGTTTTAAATATCCTGTGCATATAGCGCTTCATCGTCTATCATGAGCATTGTAGACACGAATTGTAGACATTATGAAAGATTCATTATGCATATATTTATTGTGTTATAACAGAGATTTGTGAGATTGCGATGAACTGAGATGTAGGAGTAATCAGTAATCAGTAATTTGATTACATTTTCAGAGCAACTTGCCCAACACTGCTAACAACATAGTTTGTTGATGTTTTAAGCACTTTCAGAAGGCTCTCTTTAGTTTTAGTAATTTAATCTTAAAAAAAAAAAAGCTTAATTTTAAAATGTTTCCTTGGCAACTAATTCTGGATAACAAGAGTCGATATATAATTATTAACACAAAATTAAAATAATTAAAATTAAATAATTAAAACAAAAAATTTCAAATAAAAACTTCACACTTTCTGCACTGAAAATAAGTTGAATTTTATTTTGATTATTTTATTTCAACGAAAATGTTCTTTAACAGTCTTATTTTCCTCTCTTTGTAGGTGCTCTCTACCTCTCTGTGGGGAGGTATGTTGCTGCCTTCAACAAAACGTTCAAATAAAAAATTGTTCACACTTTCTGCACTTTTAATCATACAAACACTGAGTAATTCCATCTTTCACTATTTTCTGTTCTCACACAAAACATTTCTCAACCACTGTCAAGCCATATTTAAAGACTTGGTCTCGGATCAATAAGCTTACAGATACTAAAATACACACATATATAAATTTTAAAAAATTATTAAACTATCCTTCTCACACAACATATGAAATGCTTTTCATTACAGAGTTTCTGAAAATGCGGCTCAATGAAAAACATTAAGTAGTAACCATCATGAAAATAAAGAGCAGTTTAGTTGCCACTGCTCTATATTTGCTTAGAAACATTCATCGTAATCCTAAACATAAAAAATTAAGAGAATAGCAGATCTGATGTATAACATCAAGTCACACGAGACAATCTAAGATTATATCTCCGGCTGTAGCTCCCACTGAGAAAAATATCATCTGTGCAGTGTCATATTGAGTCCAATAGGGGACAGAACTACAGTGTATGATGCAAATTAAATGGACAGTTCATCAAAAAACGAATTCTGTCACCCTTATGTCATTCCACTTTTATTGGGTGAACTATCCCTTTAAATCATAATAACAAATACTACGTAGTGTAAACCTTTTTTTTTTGTTGTTGAATTCCTGATGCTAGAGATCCATAGTTGACCATCACAAGTGTCCTGTTTTGTGGTCCTAGGGTCCACTATGAGACAGCAGTCATGGCAGAAGGATATTTTGTTATTCAGTGGAGAGCCAATGAAGTGGCCAAACATATGAAGTAGAGTGCGAGAGATACTGCTATGCCACATGCTCCACCACAATCCTTGGCATTTTCCTGTAAGAACAAAAATACAACAAAAAAAGTCATTTAATTTAATATTATGTCATATATATGCACACTTGTTCATGCACTGTATGATTGTGGTGGCTTACATGAGGATGGTATGCGTGACAAGACTCTGGTCGTCTGCGAATCTTCTGAGATTTCATCCTGTTGCACTTAACTGTGGCGTTATGTTCAGTGGAGTTAAGAATACCTCAGTTTCACAAGGTTTAACCAAACCACATTTCAAATACAAGAAACTCATCATCATGGAAGGATATATTTGACCTCTCTGGGCGCGAGTGTAATGGGAGCATACTGTCGGGAGCAGTCGCAGTCGGCCTGGACCACCAGCATGACCAGGTTACTGTTAGGAACCTGCTGTAGGACAAACATCCTGAAATATGACAGAGAAAGAGAGAGACATTGACAAATTGTTACTGGCACAAATCCACCCATCTGAAGACAGTCTGACTGATGGACGTACTTCTGACAACGGCCACATTTGATGATGCTGTTGGTCTCTCTGATGGAAGTGTCGTACATGAAGCCGGGATACTCTGTGTTACAAGGCTGCATTAGTTCCACCTTCTTCTGTCTGTGTGCTGGAGAGGACAAGATTTACATTAGAACAGATAGAAAACAGATTCAGCTGTCTGTAGTCCAGAGTTTTTTAAGATGGGGTTTTAAACATAATATTGGAAATAATATATATATATAAAAAGTCAAATTAAATTGGGAACAAATGTGCTAATATTATATTTTTCAGCTTTCTAAAGACTGTTTCATATATATATATTATATATTATATATATAAATATATATGAAATAAAAAGTAAAATGTATCCAAATGTATAAAATAACGTATATATAAAATGTTTTTATACTTTTAGAAATATCTATTTTAATAATTTTATAAGTATTCTTTCTGCTTTTTAAAATGTTGCCTTTATGAATATATAGTGTGCATAATATATTTGTCTGCCTTAATATTATGATCAAATTTAGAGGCCTTTCACATTAAAACGTTCATTTAAAAAACCACTGGTCAGGTCTAGGTCAGTAAAGCAGTCATTACTTTGTTAGCAATACAATGTTTTAGCACAACTGTTTAAGAATCTCTGATTAATATGGTGGTCCAGTAGTGCACAACACAACAAAATCGCCACGACACAATGCATAGGACTCATTTCGTTGTGTTGTGCTAATTTCGTTGTGTTGTGGCTTGTTTCCGTTGAGTTGTGCTAATTTTGTTGTTTTGCGGCTTGTTTCTATTGTGTTGCATTTGTTTCCGTTGTGTTGTGCCTTGTTTCCGTTGAGTTGTGCGAATTTTGTTGTTTTGCGGCTTGTTTCTATTGTGTTGTGACTTTTTTCCATTGTGTTGCACCTTGTTTCTGTTGTGTTGTGCTAATTTTGTTGTTTTGCGTCTTGTTTCTATTGTGTTGCGACTTTTTTTCATTGCGTTACATTTGTTTCCATTGTTTTGTGTTAATTGCGTTGTGTTGCACCTTGTTTCTGTTGTGTTGTGCTAATTTTGTTGTTTTGCGTCTTGTTTCTATTGTGTTGCGACTTTTTTTCATTGTGTTACGTTTGTTTCCATTGTTTTGTGTTAATTGCGTTGTGTTGCAGCTTGTTTCTTTTGTGTTGTGGAGATTTCGTTGTGATAATAAATCAGGATCTTCTTATGGTATGAGACCAGACTAGACTAATATTTTGTCAAGAAAACCTAGATCTATGCCAAAGTCACTACAGATGACTAAGTAATTTCATTAGCTACAAATTATCAGGCTCTAATTTGGATCCTGGCTATAGAAAGGCACAAACTAAATGAAGGACATTTGCTCATGTACACATGTGGATACTTACATGCGTGAAACCCAGCTTTAGCTGAACAGTGTCAATGAGAAACAATTACAGCAAAATGATGAACAACAATGGAAATGGAGAATGAAGAAATGAGAGACTGACACTACATAAAATGATACATTAAATTAAACTGAGATGGAGATGAGGTTTACATGTCTGGGTGTTTGAGGATTTCTGAAGTTTGAACAAAAACAAAAACGTTACATCCTTCATAACTTCCTAACTTACCATCCACAACATAGTCATTATGCCAAAGACCACAGATGTTGAACTCCAACAGAAGCCTGTAAGTTTAAAATTGAGGATAAATTTTTACTGGCAAATCAAATTACATCTCAAATGAATAAAATAGCTCATGTTCCCCCTGGTTTCACAACCTCAAACAGCACTTACATCACAAAATGTGAGAAGAACCACTTTACTAATGCCAGCACACCATAGAAAGGCTGTGAGGTGAACAGAGGTGGATTGTCAACAGTGTCAGTACAATATAGACTGCATTATGCACTATAAAGAATAGTTTCTCTCTAATAGATGCTAAGGTGTACATACGCTGAGCAGTGGTCGAGCTCCACTAGTGTGATGATGGGCGTTCTTACACATGGCCTGGTAGTCATACAGAGTCACCCTTGTAGGACAATATACAGCATTACTTCATGCTCAGATTTTGAAAGTACCACGAAACTATAAAGGAATAATTCACCAAAGAAAAAAAACTTTATTATATTATATAAAAAAACTCTGAGGAGACCAGTTACCTTTTAAACAGGCCAGATTTTAGTAACTGGGCCATGACAGATCCGTCTATTTCCCCAAAGAATTTACCAACCTGTGTGAAAGGACACAGAGACTAAAGCATACATACAGCAGACTGAAGGATTATTCAGGTTTAGATATACAGTATGACACAATATGAAATCATTTCTGAATCCCATGATGAATAAACACACACACACCTACACGCTCATAGACAGACAGATGTGCAGTGATCCAGTTGTGCAAACAGATGCCTGAATCTGCCCTGTCTGCCCCACGGCAATCTGGGATTAGACTCCATAAGCATTCATCTCCTGGCTACTGCTCACATAGCTACAATGCATGTGTTGCAACAAACAGCTGCGGTTATGGTATGAGACCATTGTCAGCATATGGATATATGCAACCAAATACAATAATACACAATTAATCTAATACATAAATCAACAATAATGATGACATTTATCATAATGATTTAAATAAAACATACTGTTGACTAAAATATCATGATTTATAATTAACAATGCACTAAACAATGTTTTTAAAGAAGAAAAATCTATATGGTTTTTGATGAAGCTGAACAGTGAATTAAAGGAATAGTTCACAAAAAAAAGTAAACTTTCTGAAAATGTACTCACCCCAGGCCACTGAAGAATTATAGGAGTTTGTTTCTTCTTCAGAAAAGATCTGGAGAAATTTAGCATTACATCACTTGCTCAACCAATGCATCATCTGCAGTGAATGGGTGCCATCAGAATGAGAGTCTAAACAGCTGATAAAAACAATAATCCACAAGTAATCCAAGTAATAAAAAACCCCAGTACATCAATTAAATGTCTTGCGAAGTGATAATCTTCATGATTGTAAGAAAGAAATACATCATTAAAGGGGTCATATGACGTTGCTAAAAAACATTATTTTGTGTATTTGGTGTAATGAAATGTGTTTATGCGGTTTAAGGTTAAAAAAACACATTATTTTCCACATACTGTACATTATTGTTTCTCCTCTATGCCCCGCCTTTCTGAAACGCGTCGATTTTTACAAAGCTCATCGGTCTGAAAAGCGAGGTGTGCTCTGATTGGCCAGCTATCCAGTGCATTGTGATTGGCCGAATACCTCAAGCTTGTGACGGAAATGTTACGCCCCTTAACGCCCCCGTGTCCGGCCGGAGCGACGAGACAAAAACATTAAAACCCATTATAAACGAGGCATTTGTAGCATCCAGTGGGGACATAATTACGGATTATAATGACTTGTACTGTCTTTTTACGCATTGCATTGCATCACGCCGTGTAAACATAAAACCATGTCTGCATTTGCATTTGTGATCGGACTCGTGTTTTGAATCATCAGTGGCAAATCCTTTAAATATGAAAACGTACTTACAGACTGTGAGT